AGTGACACACTGTACTTCCACCCATGATGCTTTGGCCAGAACCCATCTCATGCCCCAACCTTACCACAAGCAAATCAGGGCACACAATCTTAAGGTGGATCCGGAAGACAAAGGACCTCTTTGCTGAAGAGCAAGAATGACTACCACAGGGCACAAAGAATAGTTTCAGATGCAGAACACCTTCATGACCATTGGAGGCTTTTTCTAAGTAAGACAAAAGAGCCCAGGCCACCATTAAAGCTACTGATAAACCTGACTATATTATAAAACTTTATTTCCCTATGATTAAAGACCCAGAATTAAAGAAAAAGCATAGACTTCAGTTTTTGAAAATATTGTGGATCAGCTTTTCAAAAAAATGTCACAAAACATCTATAGATGCAAGATAAAATTTGAAAACCATATTTTATAATGTGTTACTAAAATGGCAAGGAAGCAATGCATATTCTCAAGAAACCAAACAGATAAATAATACCCTTGCCCCCCAAAGCCCTATAAAAAACTTAAAACCAAGCAAAAGCCCAACAGGCTGGTCAATGCTCTTGAATATGAAGGTTGTCCAAAGGACATGTACTAAGCCCTGTTTTGGTATGTATAGCTATATGGGGTGAGGAGGCAAAGCCACAGAGACTCCCGTATAAAGGTGGGAGCCTGAAGGACAAGTGGAGGGAGAATGGGAGCAAATATCCCTTCCCGCAGGAAAATGGCCCGTTGCCACGTACTGGATCTGGGAAAGTAGGCCGAAGCAAAACTGAATCAGTAATTCACGCCCAGTAGTTTGGTGGTCAAATGACTTGTCACTCATATTCACACTGAGTGATCTAAAATACGTCAGTTCAAATCATCCTGCTGAAGTAATTTAAAGTTATTTTATATCTAACACACATATTTCTAAAGGCACCAAAATGATTGTAAAACAGTGTGGAATAAAAAAAACAAATACCTGGGAAAGCAGGAGAGCAGAGAAGTGAGCAGAGTCCTAAAGCTCGTTTTGCCTCGAGGGCATGTGCTGAGCCCTGTATTGGAGCGTGCTCTCTCTCTCTCTCTCTCTCTCTCTCTCTCTCTCTCTCTCTCTCCCTCTCTCTCTCTCTCTCTCTCTCTCTCTCTCTCTCTCTCTCTCTCTCAATAGCCTCGTGAGCCTTGGGGGAACAGAAGACAAACCATCCATCTTTCAAGGTGGATCCTCAAGAGGATGTTAACTCAGGGTCCTGGAGACACTTAAGTAAACTCCTCCTACTCCTCACCTATATCTTCAGAACACCCAGGACACAGCTTGCAGAATCCTGCCCTGTCGCACAGCATGACGGAGGGGACCTTTCCAGAAGTTGGTAACAATGGCATATACTTTCATCCCAGCTGCAAGCCCAGAGCTCAGGTGGAAACACAGTCAGTGGGTGAACCAGAAAAACAAAACATCCATCTAGCTAGAGGCAACTTGTCTGTCTAGTCCTGAACTCTACTTAGAACAAGGATTGGGAGGGGTGGGGGAGGAAAATAAGAGGAGGGGGAGGAAGAGGAAAGAGAAGATGGCAAAGAAAATAAATTAAAGATGAAAGCAAAGAGAATGGAAGGAAGGGAAGGAAGGAGGGAGGGAGAGAAGAAGAAAGAGAAGGCGGAAAGGAAGGGAAGAAGAAAGTGGAGGATAACCACATGCTTTTAATCATGCAACCTTGAGGCTGATCTTGGCTTATTTGCATTTGAAAAAAGTCAAGAAGTTAGTAAAGTTGTACCTTCTAAATGTATAACCACAAAGTATCTGTGTCCAAAGTATAAAAAAATTCTAACAATCAATAACACCCACAAATCTAATGTAAAAAAAAAAAAAATAGCCAAGGACATGAGCAAGCATTTCACAATGTGGAAAAATGAAAGGCGATCAAAGGTGATCAAAGTCATTAGTAATCAGAAAAACAAAAAAACCAAGCCACAGTGAAATGAGTTGTCCCCTGTAAGAGGCGTTGCTGTCCTGGACATCGGTATTCGAGACAGTGGTGCTTGTGATGTGGTCAACCGCCCTTTCTAGAGCCTGGAATGTGGAGATGAGCAAGATTCTACCCACCCCACATCTCACTGAAAACAAAAAGCCTCTGAAAAGGACAAAAACAGAAAATAAGACATTCTCCACGTGACACTCTGAACTACGCCGTGAGACCAGTGAGAGTGAAGATGCCGTTGAGAGTGTCGACTTCCCACTGCTTCATTCTCGCCCACACTTGGGTGTCCCTTGGGACGAAGGCAGGAGAAGAGTTGCATGGTTTGGAAACTCTCTGGTTGTGCAGATGGTGAGGCATTTATTGGGATATTAGGGAGGGTTGGTGTGAATTAGGATTCTATTAGGTCTAGTGTAAAAAAATCCCTATCTTTTTGGCCACTGGAGGAGAGTGCGCAGATCCAGCAGATGCCACTGCGTTGACCATCCTGCTGCCCACTCTGGCAGGTGGAGGGGCTGTGGGGGGGGGGGACCCACAAATACAGAAGTTAGCAGCTTGAACAAGGCCTGAGCTTGTGTTGTCTTGTTCTGTCCTCAGCGTCTCACTGTATTACTGAACCAAACCAAACAGAGTAAGGGTCTGACCACCTGATGCAGAGAAGAGCCAAACACTGAACAACAGGTTTGCCATGGAGAGATTAAAACTGTTTTGTTTGCAGGGCAGCCAGCAAGGAGAATGAGAAGCTATCACTTAAAACCCGACCTCCCAGATGTCTCTGAATCAAAGGTTGCTAAAGGCAGAGATGGAGGGTTGGCCGCTGGGGGAACAGGCTGGTGTGCAGAGGTGCTGGCCATGCGGGTGTTGATCAAGGTTTGGAAGTTGGCCATCTGTTCTTAAGACAAGATAAGCAGCTTCAGCCCAGAAGGGCAGAAGGGACCCTTTGCTCCTGAAATTGTTGCAGTGTTCGAGTTCCAGCCATGTCTTGGCCCTTTGGTTCTGGGGAGGGGGAGGCGCTATTTTGGTTCAGAGTGCAGCGGAGGTCCAAGTTCTCTCCTCTGCACATGCTTCGGTTGCTTGAGGGGTGGTTCTGGTCTGTTAGGAACAGACTAGGACCATTCTGAGCTGGTTCTGCGGTTTTGTCTTCTCATAGGCCCAGAAGTTCTGTGTAAGGTATTATCTCTGAAACAATGTGAAGTATTTAAACAATGTAATGAACAAAAACTGTTCTAAATTCCAACAACTTCTTTTAGTTCTCTGCACCACGCAATTAATTAAGCAGTGTAGGAACTGTATGTTGGCATATCCACTAAGAGGGTACTCCCAATCAGCTGTTGGGCTGCAATAACACAGAATGAGAGTGGAATGTATTTATTTTTAAATTCAAGCCTCTTAAAAATGTCTTTACGTGCCATCTTGCCAAAGTGGTACTGGACTAAAGGGGTGGATCTAAAAGGGGCCACATGCTAAACCCGACCAGCTCAGGGGAGGCCTGCAGGGTGGCCTTACAAACTCAGAGACCAAAGGTAACCACACAGGATGGTCTGAAATGGAAACTTCCTAACTCAAAGCAAGTCGTGGTGGGTAGTCATGTTCTAGGCTGGTATCTTCCCTGACAAAGGTCAATCTTTACCGAAACTGAGTCTGTCTGTTGTCATTTTTGCATCTAAGATAACATACCTCTGGAATGTCTGAGTAATCTCTTTTTTCCAGACCTCCCCCAAGCCGGACACAATCTCCCACAAGAGTGCAAGACCAGGGAACCCCTTGTTATCTTGTTCCCTGCAGACCATCTCTAAATGTTAATTGTTCGTTATCCTGCACCCACCAAGGTAAAAGAAATATGTGTTCTCTCCATTTTACTTTTTATCCACAGATGTTTCCCTGCTTTGAATTCTCCTGCCTCCCTAATTCACCACCAATGAATTTCATGTAACCTTCCTTATGCCTCCTCCTTTGGTTGTAATGTATAAACTAAGGTTCAAACCTGTCATTCTCTGGAGCATTTTCTCCATTGAGATTTTGCTTCCTGGCAACTGTCATCAGTTTGGCTCAAACCAACTCATGAAAATTCTCAACAGGTGTGGATGTTTCTTAAGTTGACGGGGTCTAGTTTGCCTGTAGATGTACTTCAGTTGCTGAACAGCTAGCTTTCAGGGGAGGCTCCCAGACTGAAACCCAATTCTGCTGGTGTCAAAACCACTGCTTTCTGAATCATGTCTGACCAATGGAAAGTTCTCCAGGTTCCATGACCAACTGAAAGTCTAGACTCAAACCACAGGGTCCTTTGGAATGGCATCTCCTTGTATCCTCTCCAGAGCAAGATAAAACCCCTGAAGAATTAGCTACACATTTGGCCTTAATGTCCCTTCTTAAAGCCAAATGTTTATAATCAGCTAAATTTCACATTGTGTAGACATCTGTGCGTACTGGATACCCCACTCACTCCACACGTTCTTTATCACATGTGTGCACGACCCATGTGTGGAAGGAAAATGAATGGCAACCTCTTCTGGGTACCAGGTAAAGAGCAAAGGCACACACTGTGTGGAAGAAGCAGCCTCAGACAGAACTGAACCGAGAGTGGTTTCATGCAAGCACTTCTCTAAGTTTTTCCTTTTAAACTCATTCCTCTGCCCAGCTGGTGGGGCTCAGTGGTTGAGCATTGACCCATGCACCAAGAGGTCACCGGTTCGATTCCTAGTCAGAGTACATGCCCATGTTGTGGGCCAAATCCCTGGTAGGGGGCCTGCAGGAGGCGGCCAATTAATGTTCTCTCTCATTGATGTTTCTATCTATCTCTCCTTCTCCCTACCTTTCTCTAAAAATCAATAAAGAAAAAATAAATAAAGAAAAAATAAACTCATCCCTCTGCCTTTTCAATGGGACAGACAATGCCGCCCCCCCAGCCCCAATGCTCATGGCTTCGGTGCTGCTCTTCTTTGGCCAAGAGCTACAATGGAATTTCAAAGTCTAAGCATATGTTTGCTCACTTAATGTAACACTAGAGAACTGAATCTGAACTTTGGAAAAAGTCTATTAATCATTGACAAGTAACAGAATTGTCAAGACGTAGAAGGCAACATGGGAAAAAAATGAAAACAACCTGGGTTGCAGTAACCCGTGAAAATGTTCACCTGGCTCATTTGTATCAGTGATTATGAACAACATGCTAAATCGATACTTCCCAAGTCTATATATGACTATTATAGGTCTGGGGCAAACGATCAAGAAACCTTGGCTGATAATATGGCAGCATTTTCCAGGTAAGAAAATGTATTTATTTTTAAATCATGTTTTAAAATGTCACAAAGACATTCTGCCTTAATGAGTACTCCTAGTTTCAATGTCGATGCTGTAGATGGAGTTGTTTCTCTGGATAGATGCTTAGTAGAGAGGGGAAATTCTTGGGATTGTGAGGAAATCTTGATTTTTAAGAAATTGTTTTAAAGATTCCAAGCCTGGAATTGGAAAAAGCCAACCCTAAGTTTCCTCCCTGGGATTTATGTGGATAACTAGCTTAACTGTGTGTGGAAATGGTGGTGAATTCTGATCGCCCCTTTGCCTCTTTCTCCGGGTGTGACAGTGAGCGTCTGTTCACGGTGCAGGAAGGGCATTCACTGCGAGGTAATCATCGTCTCCGGTGGAGCCAGAACAGATTGCCGCCTCAGATGTCCCCATTCTGCTGGCTTCTCCCTCATCTTTCACTTTGAGTCCTGTTGTCTAAACGTTCAGTTAGATTTCAGTTTGTCTATAAAGCATTAATCTTTCCACTTTGCTATTTACCTCTGCTCCAAAGAGTTTCATCTCTCTTCCCAAGTTAGTTTTCCCTTGACTTTCATATTTCAAGGCGCAAGATGGTGGGTGTCATGGTTTATGTTTTCTGCTTGTAATAAAAGCAAGAGGCAAAATAACTTCAAAGGAGTATTTTGTCTCTCAGCAGTTACAGACAGGGTGTATTTGCTTGAGTAGGGGAGAAGGACCCCGACTACGCTGCCCCCTTTCAGGCTCATCCATTGTACATCAGTAAAGACAAAAGGGTCGTAGGTGCTCATTGATGGCAATAAATTAAAGAAGGAAAAAAAAAAAGGCAGAAAGTACCCAGGGAAAAGAACCTCCCTTCCTTCATTACTTTTTTCTTTAGTCTAGAGCAGAAGCACTCAAAATACTTTTCCACGTATCATTTAGGAGAAATGAAACCATTCTAAACCAGGGTGTTGCCTGGCAAGGATCACCGATTCACCCGCAAATCAGTGTAGGAGCCTGAGAATGGGGTGAAGCTTGGGGTGTCCTCCAAACCCCTTTCAGCCATGACTGTCTCAGATCTCCCATGAAAACCAAATGAGCTGAAAAAATGCTGGAAGTCATGGGAAAGGAAAAGTTGGCTAAAACTAGAGGAAGGCTTAAAATTCGGCATCTTTTCCAATCATGAATACTCTGCTTTTGGAAGCTGCCTGTTCTTGAGCCCGTGCCAACCCTGTTCACCAGGTAAGGTGATTTGCTTTTTAGTAGTCTCCTGAAGGCAACACCTTACCCCAAATGGGTCATTTTAACGGAGGAAATTCCAGGCCCTTGATAGGCTTGTGAAGTTGGTGCTCTGTTTTCTGGCATTCCTTAGTGCTCAGGTGCCCACCTATGTGCAGCCTTCTTCCCCTCTTAACTCCTCTCACCCATGCGAGCTGATTAATTTGCCAGCACTTACTAGGAATCTCTATGGGCTGCATGCTGTGGATAGAGCGGTGAGCCAGACAGAAAGTTCCTGTCTGCGGGAGCTTACATTCCAATGGACGCACGTGGAACTGGCCTCCGTAATCCTGGTGGGTTGCAATGATACAAAATGGAAGCAAAATAGTTGGCCCAATGGAGGCCTCCAAGAGGGAGCCAAGGTGGCAGCAAAGTGGACAGATCACCTCTGCAACCCAAGAAATCCCAGAAACTCTGTGAGACACAAGAGGCTGTGCGTGTGGTGCTTCCACGTTGTGGCCTGGGCCTCACGGCTTGTGTGAACCACAGAGTGCTCCTTTCCAGCGCGTCTTCCCAGCCTGTGCATGTGCTGAGCCGCTTAGGGCGGGACACAGGTACTGAGGATGAGTTTGCACTGCCTTTTCCCTCAAACCTCCATCCTTCTCTGTTGCTCAACTCTAAAGGGGAAAACCTGGATCGATTAATTCACTTTCTCTGGAGCATGGCTCATGCTATTTTATTATCAACCACTTGAGGAGTTTGCACAGCAACAAACGTTAGAGATCATTGCCCATCTGACATCTCAGTTTCTCTTTTGCTGTGTAACTGGCTGGGTGACCCTTCATCCCTCACCCTGTATCGAGCTGATCACGTGGAACTAAGAAGAGATTTTTCTGCCAGGGTTGTGGTGGCTTTGGGTTGATGGGGTGAAGGGAATCCATTTGAAATCTCTCATTCTGATTTAAATGAAAACTACAAAACAACCAGACCTTATTTAGCCTGTGTGACACAATGTCAAGGTATTTTAAAGACATTTATGGCCCTGGCCGGTTTGGCTCAGCAATTACGAGTGTTGGCCCATGAACCAGAGAAACCCAGGTTCGGTTCCCACAAGGGCATGTAACTCCGTTGCAGTTTGTCCCTGGCTCGGGTTGGGGTCGTGTGAGTGGCAGCCAGTCGTTGTGTCTCTCTCACATTGATGTTTCTCTCTCTCTCTTCCTCCGTCTCTCCCTCCCGCTTTATCTGAAGATGAATGCAAAAATGTCCTCGGGTGAGGTTAAAAAAAAAAAAGACATTAATGAAATGTATACACTGCCCTTCCCATACGTACAAAAGGAGGTCGTTCCCAGTGGCAGCACTTATCTCTGCCCTTGGCTCTGACAACCACATTTTGGAGTTGTGGGGACATGGGCCCCGTATGTGACCCAGCAGTTGTTTAGAAACATTTCTGGGTAAGACTTAGGATTCTAATATTATTGTGTCCCCTTCTCCCCCCCCCCCAAAGAAAACAAATAAAGTCAAGTAGATGGAACCACTCAGAAGAAGAGAGTTTTCTATTGCAAACATGACAAGAACACAGCTCACACATCTAACACAGTCTGACCCCATTGGAGTTAATTTGAAAAAGAACGGTAATTTCATTCTCTCATACATTAACTCACTGTATCCTTCTCAACCATGGTCTGTCTGTACATGTCTGTGGCTTCTTGTGAAATTATCACTGGTAGAAAATAATTCTACGATTTGGGCATTTTGAAGTTTCATGATATTAGAAAAGGAAGCTATTCTCATTCCTGTTGCATCACTTATTGACACTTTTAAATAAAAGATGGTAAAAGTGATAGCATTCGCTCTCTTTAATATTTCAGAAGCAATATAATTACCAGTGGTGTCCTCGGCGTTCTTTTAATAAGGGGTAAATGTCACGGAATCTTTTAGCTAGTTTGCAAAATGGGGATGTTGCTCTTTGCTCCCGCATTATGAAAAGCAGCTAATTGTCTCTTGTTTTTGAGGATTCACATGAAAAGAGATTTCATATCCCAACTCTGTTTTCTGCTCCTCCTCTTCCCCTCCCTCTGCTTCTTCCCCTCATGTCAGAACTGTGGCTTCTTTACCAGACAGGTGTTGACAAATACACACACACACAACCCCGCACCATTTTGGGAGGTTCTAGGGGCTTCAGAAACCATTAAAAAATGAATGATAAACAATAAGATTATAAAAATTTGTGGTATATTTCACATACATATATTTATGTTTTAAATGCTTAGAGTAAAAAATAAGGAGGATAAATTAGAATGCAACGTGATCATCTTACAGATTTCTAAAACGTGAATCTACTGTGTTCAGTTTGTAGGGTTCAGTAATGGCACACGGCTGTCTCCCTTCAATAGACTAGCCCCTTTGGGGAGTGTGTATGTTGTTTGAATTTTTGATAAATTAAATTTGAGGCCCTTGTTGGATATGAAGTGTGGGTCAAAGGCCCTGTTAAAGGATCCCCTCCTTCACCTTAGTTCTCATACTCAGGCATCTTATTTTCCATCCTTTAGAAAAGGATTATTATTAAGTTTGTTCATTTGTTTGTCAATCTTCATATCCTTTTCCCAAAGTGGAGATCTTAGAAGAGCACAGACCAAGGTTATAGTCATCCCCTATTTTATGTAAGATTTAAGGGGAGGGACAATCACTTCAATTGGGGGTAGGGTTGAGTGGGGCTTAGAAACTTACTGAAACTATCTGACCAGGTTAGTTGTAATTGCTCTTTGGAAAATATCAAAACATGGAGGACATTTTTGAGAGCACACATTCCCCAGTCCAGTGATTTTTACCTAGTTTTGTCTAGGAATTGCATTTGGTGCGTTGGTTGACAAGTCTCTGGAATGTCATTCCTCATCACCAAAAATAATGTGTAGAGAAAGCGGGAACACGCCGTTAGTAAAGTGACTGCGCCACCGTGTGGACAAGTGTAAAGCTACAGCCTGAGATAAAACGGAACCTTGCCGCGTGTGGATTGACCATTTAAAAATGTCCCTCTGCTTGTAGACAGACAGACAGACACACACACACGCACACACACACGCACGCATGCACACGCGAGCACACAGCCGATGCACCGCAGCTCTCTGTGTGCTCTTTGCAAAAGCTCCCACTGTTTCTTCAGCTCGAAGGGACTATTACTGCCTTCCAAGGCCTGCACACCAGTGGCTGCTATGAAGATCCTTTTCTCTCATTCTAATAATACACGGAGAGATGATTAGTCGTAAAAACTGCCTCCAAGGCTTTTCCCTCCCCCTTCGAAACGGAGATCAAAGAACCATGCTGTGAGCGTCAGAGGAGAAGAAAGGACTCCAGCAGCCCAGCACGTGGCCTGAGATCGTGGTGTTCAAAGGAGTTGCAAAGAAATCACACAGTAAAATTTCTTTATTATGCTTTTCAGGAGCTGATGTTTTCACTTCATTATGTGAGGAAGGGTTGGATTACACACCGTTAGCTATTTCTCAAAGCAACATGAAGGCGGAATTTCTCCTTCCGCTGCAGGAAGTAGGCTCCACTTAAGACTTTGGGGGTTCGATTTATTTTGGTTACTACATTGCTAAATCACACTTCACTATATTCACTTCGAACCTTGATCTCCCTGGAAGCAGAGTGAAATGTAGGCAGCCAACGGTTAGTGCTGGGTAGGTATGAATGCGTGTGTTCTCACACGTTTATTGGCTTAGACCTCCTGAGAATAGGGCTGTTTTCTTCCTTTAAATCAGTTACTAATGAGGAGTAAAATAACCCTGAACAAATAGAAGATATAAATTTTGCCAAGGGGAAAGAGAATTCGTTCTGTAAATTTTACTAGTGAAGTTTTGGTATTTTCATGGCAACACAGAACAATCAAAGAGAAAGACATGTAAGACAATGTTCAGCCGTCAAAAATCTTTAAGTCAGAAATTCAATCTCTTCCACATAAACTTTTTGAAGAAAATACTCAATTTTAAACTGAAAAAAGAAATTATCTTCCCTCATTGTCATACTTCAGTGGATACAGAATTCAGCTTAAGGATTTTGAAAAAATATATATAATTTTAAAAGTAACTGTCTGAAGCTAGTCTGTCATATGTATAAAAGACAAAATAGCCATAGTGGATCTTCTTAAACTATAGTTGGACTTCCATACCTTTGCATACCATCTTCGGATGACTTGGAGGAAGGGAAATGAAAGCTATGTTCACACAAACAACTTGAAGTGAATGTTGATAGTGACTTTATTTGTAATTGCCCCAAATTGGAAACACCCTGAATGTCTCGTACCAGGGGAATGGATAAACAAACTGTGGTACTTTCTTACCATGGAATACTATTCACCAACCAAAAGGGACAATGTACTGATGTTTGCATCAGCACCATGAATGAATCTCAAATGTATTATGCTAAGTCAAAGAAACCATGCTCACAAGCCTACATTCTGTGTGACTCAATTTATATGATATTCTTGCAAAGTAACACTATAGGCACACACACACACACACACACACACACACACAGATTGGTGGTTGTAAGGGGAGAGTTTCACCACAAAAGGAAATGGGGACATTTTTCAGGAGGGTAAACTGTTGTAGATCTTGAATATTTTGGCAGTTACATGACTATGCATTTGTCAAAACTCACAAAACTTTACACTCAAATAGGCAGAATTCTGTGTGTTCAACATACCTCACTGTGAACAATGGCTTGAGAAATTTGTTATTATCTTACTGCTAACTTTCCATCTCAGCAGCATTCAAATTGCTCCTTTTCCTTTAGCTCTGTAATTTGCTTAAATAGAAGAAAATGTTCTCTTTTTAACTGAAACATGTCAAAGCTCTAGTTATGCTTTTGAAATTCTAAACCTTTTTTTTTTTTTTTTGGTAATCCTAGGTGGAAGCTCTATCCACGGATGCTCCGGAACGTTGCTGAAATAGACCTGTCGACTTCCGTTTTAGGGCAGAGAGTCAGCATGCCAATATGCGTTGGGGCTACGGCCATGCAGTGCATGGCTCACGTGGACGGGGAGCTTGCAACTGTGCGAGGTAGGGAGGAGGGTCTCACCCAAAGGGACAGAGACACTGATGTTTAGTGACTCTCTTCTCTGTATGCATTGAGCAGACACTTCCTTGGATGTTTTTACAGCCAAAGATTAAGCTCATAGACTCTGCCATCAAAATGCCTGGTTTTACATATCATGCTCCCCTTCTTTCTAACTGTATGTCTCTGGGCAAAATACTCTTTGTATGTTGGTTTTATCAGGTGAAAAATGGGGATAAAAATACTACCTATCTCCTTGGGCTGTACATATAAAATGCTTAAAACAGTGCCGGGCACAGAGCAGTGGCTCCATAGTTATATTATGAGTATTAATGTCAACATCTCAGAAAATGGAGGTCTGAGAAATGGACTCACCCTGAGTCATACAGCTAGGTAGTGACAGAGGTGGGATTCATGGCTACCTTATTTCAAAGCCCTTCTAGCTTTCCCCAAACCCATGAGATTCTCACAATGAAAGAGCAAACGCAGTGACCTGATTGGTGATGTTTTCTGCCATGATTTTTTTTTTACCCATTGGTTCTATCCCCAATAGAGCATTTCCTTAGGCGGGAATTGATGAGAGATTCAAAAATTATGTAAAAATTTTTTTTAATTAGGGCTTCTTTATTAACTTCCCAGTCCTCTAGCAACTATGAACAGTTGAGAAGGTATGCACATGATTAATCTCCCACACTCTGCTTCGGAAACTCATATAAAGTTGGGAATGAATTCTGTCTTACTTCTTTCGATGCTAAGCAGGGCAGGTAATTCAGGCCCAAAGAGCAGGAACTAAATACTATTTTAAAGCATTTTAGTTCTAAGAATTAAGGACCTTGTGGATTCATTTCCTTCTTTGCAATATCTTCCACAGAATTCTGCCAGGGATATCAGCATGTGCTGCAGACACTTAGGTTGGGCCCTGGAGCTTTTCCTAATACCAGGACCACACACAGATAAGTGGCCTTGGGGCCCAGCCTTTGTTTGTGGTAATCCTGACACATGGGCAGGGAGACGGGAAAAAGGGAACAGGAATACCAAGTGGATAGCTGTCTATTTAAAATTGGGATGGTAGAGGCCTTCCCAAGCATGCCATAGACAATAACCATTAAAATCAAAGCAAACAAATCCACACACACACACACACACAAACTTCCATGCTCTAAAATTTCTGTAAAAATGAAAACCAATGGCAAACTTAATAAAACGTAAAAAATATGATACTGCAAAGGGTTACTGTCCTTTCTGTATCAAGCGCCCTTATATTTGAAAAGTAAAATAATATACAGCACAAAATAGATACAAACATGTAAGTAGAAAAAGACATAAAGAGGAAATTCACAAATGGGAACATAAAAGTGGCCAATAAACATATGAAAATTGTTCAATTTCACAAATAAATAATGTAAATTATATTTTATTTTTCAAATATAAAATTATTGTTTTAAGATTATACATTTTGATGAGGTTCGAAGAAAAGTGTACATTTTCAAATACAGTAAGCCTTTGATTTTGTGGACCTCGATTTAACAGACTTCAGATATAATGGACAAAATTTCTGGTCTGTATGTTGTATGTGAAAATTAACACCCTGTTAATTTTAAAATGCTTTTAACCATGATTTGCTTGCAGTTAAATTAACAGGTTATTTTTTTTTTGTTATTAATTTACTGTTATTTTAACATATTTTAGTGAATAGGCCATATGTTGGAAAAAAGACTGTAGTAATTTTGCCAACATAAAAAAATATTACAGATCTACAACTATAGTCTACATATTTAAGTCAAAGAGTCACCACTCGGAAACAGTGTTTTTGGAGAATGATTAGCACGTGATTACACCACATCTCAAGAGGTAACTGGTTCTGTTGTCACGTCGCCTGACTTTCTGCGGCAGTTGGAAGGCTTGTGGCTGCTGTTCCCACATGCGCTAAGCCACACCCCAGCCATGTGCATTTGTTTACTCCAAGTGACTGGTGAATGCACACATTTACTAGACCTATTCAGTATAAATATTTTTTTATTTTTTATTTTTTTAATAATTTATTTATTTTTTATTAATTAATTTTCGTTACAGATGTTTCTCCTTTTACCCCACTGATTCCCCCCTCCCCCTCCCTCCCTGCCCTCTCCCCAGTTTGTTGTCCATGTCCACTGTTCATGCATACATGCATATAAATTCTATGGTTTATCTCTTCCCCACCACCCCCGTATTTAGGGGATTGTCAGTCTGTATCCCACTTCTGCATCTCTGGGACTACCCCCTTCCTCAGACTGTTATGTTCATTATATTCCACAAATAAGTGAGATCATATGAAACTTGTCTTTCTCTGTTTGGCTTGATTCACTTAGGATGATACTTTTCAGGTCCCTCCATGTAGTCTCAAATGATAAGAGGTCTTTCTTTCTTACAGCTGCGTAGTACTCCATTGTGTATATGTACCACAGCTTTTTTATCCATTCGTCTACTGATGGACACTTGGGCTGTTTCCAGATCTTAGCTATTGTAAATAGTGCTGCTACAAACATGGGGGTACATGTATTCTTTCTGGTTGGTGTTTCAGGCTTCTTAGGATATATTCCTAGAAGTGGGATCACTGGGTCAAATAGAAGTTCAATTTTTAATTTTTTAAGGTAACACCATATTGTTTTCCATAGTGGCTACACTCAGTATAAATATTTGAAAAAATCTTTTTTTTTACTTTTTAAAGAGAAAAGAAGGGAGAGAGAGATAGAAACATCAATGTGAGAGAGAAACATCAATCAGCTGCCTCCTGCATGCCCCCTACTGAGAATTGAGCCTGTGATCCAGACATGTGTTCTGAACAGGAATCAAACCAGGACCCCTTAGTTCATGTGATGATTGAGCTCAATCCTGATTGAGCTCAATCCACCGAGCCACACTGGCTGGGCACAATTTAAAACGACTATAAACATCTCGAAAATTTTTCTGTGAAATTAAACTTTTCATACATACTTAATTTTAAGCACACAAACATGTTTATATAAGTAAAAACAGGTAAACTAAGTAATTTGTCAATTTTTTAACATACACATTCAGAAAACCTACTTTATTATGTAACAGACTTTTGGCCTTAATGGACACCCACTCACCCGGATTGGTCTGTTACATTGAGATTTTACTGAGCTGCTGAGAAGAGGGCAATGTGAAATAATTGTTTGAGAAAATAATTTGGCACTGTGGATTCTATGCAATGTTGTAAATTCTCTTCTAAGAACTCTAAGGAAATAGCAACGATTTTGAGGACAGACATTTCTCCAAGGATGTTCATGCTTCTGTCTTTTTAATTTTTTTTTTTTTTTTGCATTTATGTTCAGATAGAGCGGGAGGAAGATAGGGAGGAAGAGAGAGAGAGAGAGAGAAACATTGACATGAGAGAGACACATTGAGTGGTCGCCACCCACACAACCCCGACCAGAGCAGGGACAAACTGCAACTGAGGTACATGCCCCTAGTGGGAACCGAACACAAGACTCTCTGGTTTGCGGGCTGACGCTCCAACCGCTGAGCCAAACTGGCCAGGGAGACTCTGTCATTTTTAATAGAAGAAAATTTGGGGAAAAAATCACCCAAATGTTCCATAATTGGAAATAGGTTGCAAAAAAGAGGGTACCTTAAAAATGGGAAACATTTTTTAAAATCGTATTATAAAGAGAGTGTAGTGGTATAAAAAGATGTGACAATATAAGAAATTTAAAAAGCAGTGACAAACAAGGGAAGGGCCTAAAATACATTTCTTTTCATGACTAAGAAGGCAGACTACTCTTTATAAGTGTTTCTGTATGACTGATAACATTACTCCTGACTTTATAGTCCTTTTATTTCTGGTCCATACTTATAATGTTTTAGTTATTTTGTAAGAGTGGGAACAATACAAATATATTCAAAAGAGGAAAGAAAAATGGAGAAGGGACCATGAAGAGAGTGAAGAAGCAGAGGAAGTAAATGAAGGCAGTAAGCAGAGCTCACTTCGTAAAACACCTGAGCCTGACAATTATTGATCTCTGTATTTCTTTATTTGATGTTTGACAGGGGCCACTGTCCCTGCTGTGAGGGCAAAGAGAGTTCCAGAGAAATCAGGCTCCATAGCTTGTCAATGACAGGGCCTTTCCACCTCACTTCTGATGGGTCCAAGATCAGTGCTCCTTATTTTTGATGGGATGGAAAGAAAAATGGGAAGAAGCCTTGCTTTGAAACTCTAATTGGATAGCCTTGGTGGGACTATTCTATGCAGCCTTGTTTCCTCCTGGCACTAACCATGAGGCATTATTAAACACCTCTTGCAGTGTTTCTTGACGGGCCATTATCAAACATCTACAAGGCAATTAGCATGTTCCAAGCACTATTCTAAAACATTACAACTTCAAAGCATCGAATCCTTGGAGCAGCCCAAAGAAGTGGTGCGATTATGAAGCCCATTTGCCGCAGTAGATGAATAACTTGCCCAGGGCCACACACAACTCATGAAGAATAAAGATGGGATTCAGACCCGGGCAGTCTGGCTCCCTCCCGAGTCTGGGCTCCTAACCACCTCTGCTGCTTTTAATTTCCCATAAAATGTCATGAGGAGAAGCCCATTTATCTGTCAGCTACAATCTCCTAAGAGTAATTAATTTATCACCTTACGTACCCGCTGAGCAGGGTCCCAGGAGAGTGAGGTGGAACAGGACGCACGGCGGCGTGGTGACGTGAGAACACTGGAATGGGCAGTGGGAGGTTCCACATGGTGCCCTGGAGAATCTGAGGTCCTGGATCAGTTCCTGTCTAGGCAGTGACGTCACAGGTTATTGTCCAGGGTTGTAGTAGAACCCTCCCTCAAGGATTTAAACATTCTTACAGTTTTCTTCCATATTCCAATGACCACCAATGGGTTGATGGTCTCTTTAATATTTAGGTTAATCCTGAAAGCCGATAGTGATCAGCTCATACAAACAGTGCTGGTTGGTTGGCATGTGTGGGTGGCGGGATGGATAGGTGCCTTGGAAGG